TAGTTAGTTAGTTAGTTAGTGCTTAGTGCCGTCACGTTGGTTCTGACCCATAGTGACCCTGTACAGGGTTTCTGAGCAGCTGGTGAGCTTGAACCACCGACCTTTCAGTTCAAACCAATCTTGTAGTCCAGTGCTTATCCTGCAGCACCACACCAGGATTCCAATATTAAATATATTAGATATATAATAGATATATGTGTTGGCTACATATATATTGTTGTTAAGTACCGTGGAGTTACTTCCAACTCATAGCAGCACCGTATAGGGTTTCCAAGGGGCAGCAGGTTGGTTTGAACTGTCAACTTTGTGGTTCTATATGTATATAGAGAGAATAAGCACTAGTAGTCCATACATATAGCGTGACCCCAAACGAGATGGATGGACACAGTAGCAGCAGCATTAATGAGTTCAACCCTAACAATGATTCTGAGGATGGCCCAGGACCAGGCAGGTCTCATCCCATTGTGTTTAGGCTCACTATGGGTTAGAACCAACTCGGCAGCAACTCCACCACCAACAAGCATACATATGACATATGTTTAGATCGAAGGAGGGCTCACAACAATGCAGTGGACAGCTGGAGCCATGGAAGCCTCAAGGCCACGCAGCAAGGCCAGGGACCTGGACACAGTGACCCCTGTGATACCAGGAGGGAAGCCCATCCTCGGACTTTTCTCCAGGACGGGGAGTTCTAAGGACCTCCCCTGGGCAGGCCCCCTGTGATGGAAAAATCCATGTGCTCGCTCGGCAGGGCTGTGGTGCAAGGTGGCTGGGTCACACACTAGTCTAGCTGCAGTCCTGGAGGAGTGACATGTATGTGATGCACTCGTGCAGAATGGGCACGCACACACCCAAGGGCACACAGGTGTCATAGGGGGATGATCTACAGGACAAGGCATCAAGAAATGCGTGGGACTCTTCTTGAAGACGGAGCTGACACGGCCTCCAGAACTGAAGGAATACCTCGTGTACGTGTCACAGAGCAGCAGGGCCCATCCCCTTACCTGGCCTTCTGCATCTCCCCAGGGGACGAAAAGGAGGTGGCACGGCTCCTGCTGGAAGGTAGCTCTCTGGGGAGAGAAGGGTTTGAAAATTGTGCCCCCCTCCCCAGGCTTCTGCCAGCAGCTACTGGTGACTTCTGTTCTCAAAGCTGCAGGCCAAGCCTCCCAGCAGGCATGGGGGCACTCAGCGGATGCCCCCTCAAGGGCTTGGCCAGTGCCTGCTGGGCCCAAGGTTATGGCCACCTCATGTTCTCCCCAGGCCCTGGCTCCTGAGGTGGTTTGAGTCCTATTCAGAGGCCTGATTGGTCCCCTGCTCCTCCCTCCCTCCTCAGTTGGACCTTCCACTGACTGCTGGCCAGACTCACATGGTGTGTCCCTCAGAATCATCATGCCTGGCAATCCAGCTCTTGTCCCCCTTCAGTGTGGTCCGAACCTTCATCTGCTTGAGGACATTGTTGCGTTCCTCCTCGGCAGGGGGCAGGGCCTTCCCTGTAGTTGGGAAAGGTCTCCGTCTCAGAGGGAAGCCCAGCCCTCCAGATATGCTGCATGGGTGTGGTGTGGGACCCTCTTTTGGACAAGGGGATCCCCACTCACCTCTAAGGCTACTCATTGCAAGTCCTCCAAAGGTCCCTTCTCAGTAGATTCAAAGGGCTCCTGGGGGCAGAGATCAGCACACACCTTATCATTCCATGCATTTGTGGTGACTTTCGGACCACCAAGTGGGCTCCAAGGCTTTGGCAGACCAAGACCATCAGATGAACAGAGGTCAGGGAAAGGGCCGTCCCAGTCTGTACACCCACTTGTCTGCTCGAAGCTGCTCACCCAGAACATACAGGCTGCCAAGGACTTCTGCCAAGGCGATAGCTGATAATGACCGAACATGAACCCTTCCAGGGTGCTCATGCTCAGACCCTGGACCCCGGACTCAGTAGTCAGGACAGGGTGTGTGGGAGTGGAAGAGACCCCCTTCCTTCAGGACAGGTGGAGGGGCATGGAGAGGTTGAAAATTGAGGGACCGGACCAGAGACTCATAGCTCTCTTGTTTCACAGCTTTCGGACAGACTTTGGGTAAGAGCTGCCTCAGTTTCCCCACTCACTAAACGTCTCCATGTGAAGATGGGGCACAATGGTGAGTGATTACTATCAGGACTGATTGTGAGAGTTGGAAATGTAAAGGTAGACGTTTTGTAACAAGGAGGGGAGTGATTGACTTTGCAGTCCAGGAGCGGAGGTCCCTGGGACCATGAAGGGAGAAGAGCAGAGTGCGGGACCCTACCCAGACAAACAGTGACGCCAGAGATGGAGGCAGAGATGATGATGTGGAGAGATGGAGCTGCTGGGGACTCAGAGAGGGAGAGGGGCTGTGTGCTGATGACCAAGGTGAGGTGGGGCGGGGAGGGGGGGAGGGAGGCAGGCTTGGAGGGTATACCCTTTGGATGGCTGATGATGCATGGAGGGGATTTTATAACCATGGCAATGAAACAATATACTGTAGGATGGATGTAAAGCTAATGTTCTCCCATGTAAACTATCACATAATTCACAATCAAACATTTAAAAAAAAGTCTCCCTGTGAGCCTGCTGCTAGGACTCACCACCTCTCTTTCCAGGGGAGAGGTATCCTTCAGCTGTTGTCCAAAGTCAGGGTCTGAACAGCCTCCAAGGAAGGAGCATGTTTGCTTCAGGGTGGGCTCTACTTCCAGCGAGGAAGCCGAGGCCCTGCTGCCAGCTCCCTGTTCCCCTCGATGCCCACTCTCTTGTCCTCGCCCTGTGCCCTTGCTCTCTCACCCACCAGCTCTGACGGTGTGCACTCCTTTGGTGGCTCCACATGACATGAAGGCCACGGGAGTCTCTAAGGCCTAGACAGTACTGGACCCCTCCAAGGCTAGGCCCCGATGGCCTACACGTGGAAATCAGGCCCACAGGCCTGCGGGTGAGGGGGCTACAGACACAGGCAGGGCAGGGGGGCTGCCAGCAGATCCAATTAGACTGCACTCCCATAAATTTCCCCAGGAGCAGCCCGAGGGGGCTGCAGGTCAGAAACAGCACTTCATCATTGCACATGGGAGACCGTGTACCAGTCTCTGCACCAGGGCAGCCACGTCACTGCTCTGAATCCCAACTCCTGCTACAGTGTTCCCGTCCCTGCAGACAGTCCTGTCCTCGGCGCCCTCATCTACGACTCACTTACTCCCTGTCACTGGAGTTACAGCGCACCTCAAAGACACAATCTCAGGAAATGTGGCTACCTTCTCCCACCCATGAACTTGGCGGGTGAGTGTTGGAAGCCAGCTCGGTCCCAGGCCTGCTATTAGGCCAAGGAGTTACAAACTCAACACATTCTAGAAGCTTTAAATCAAATCAGAACCGAATAAACCACATTGGCAAGTCAAGACAGACTTGCGGATATGCACGCTGGCAGAGGTGGAGAGGCCTGTTAGGGGTTAAACTTAAACAGATGTTCAACTAGTCACTCCTGTACCTGTGAAAGTGACTTTAGGTGGAACTCAGGTGTTTCTGTGATCATTTCCGTTAACAAGGTCCTATCAGAACAGGGTGGGTCCTAATCCCTTCGGAGTGGCATTTTACATGAGAATAAGTCAAAAAGTATTGCTACACAATCACGGTGGTGATTGTGTGCTGTTGAGTTGGTTTCAACTTATAGTGACGTCATATAGGGCTTCCGAGGTTGTAAATATTCACAGGAGCACAAAGCCTCGTCTATCTCCTGCAGAGCAGCTGGTGTATTTGAACTGCTGACCTTGTGGTTAGCAGCCCAGTTCATAATCAACTACACTCCCAGGGCTCCTTACACAATCACAGAAGCCTTTATTAAACAAAAATATCAAACCATGAAGTTTTTCTTTCTCAACATCTCCTCTATCTGTATCCACATACTTTTGAAAGCAGTGTTTCTAGCTCTCTAGGTCCTGGTATGGCGCTAGAGGTTAATGCGCCAGACTGCAAAGCCGTTTGAACTGCAAGATTGGCGGTTCAAGCTCACTAGTGTCTCCTTGGAAACAGAGCAGGTGGTGAGTTTGAACTGCCTGCCAGCCTTGCAGTTAGCAGTCCAGGACTCTCTCTGTGGTTTATTTACACCACATCTAAACAGAGTTGGACATCCTTGAAGGGCTTCAATGTTCTTTGGCGTTTGGGTGTTCTGTTTCAATGTTCTTTGCATTTCAATGTTCTTTGCATTTACAAGCTCTGGTAGCGTAGTGGTTACGAATCGGACTGCGAACCTTAAGGTCAGCAGTTCGAAACTACCAGCTGTTCCACGGGAGAAAGAGGAGGCTTTGTGCTCCCGTAAAGATTTACAGCCTCAGAAATCTTGTACAGGGTCGCCATGAGAACCGACTCCACAGCACATAACCACCAACCACCAAGAAATCTGAAGGGGCAGGAACAGGGCGATAGGGTGGGTGGGGTAAGGTATCCCGATGAAATTTCCAGAGCCCTTGCTACCCTCAAAGAATAAACAGGAAATTCCCCCATTGCAACTTTCCGGGCCTTAGTCTCATCAATGCAGTTATCTGTTTCCTTGAAACTGATTCCTAATAAGGTCACTGATTCTCATGTGTCCATCATGAAAATCTATCAAGATGACCCTTTTGTTGTGGTTGTTAAATGCCATCAAGTCAGTTCTGACTCATAGGGACCCTGGATAGGGTTTTCAAGGAACAACTGGCGGGTTTGAAACAATCTTGTGGTTATCTTACTTATCTACTGCTTATCCTGCTGAGCCACGCCAGGACTCTACAACCAGCTGCCATAAGCTTCTGAGCTTACCTCTCTGCCTTGAATGTGACTGCCTAGTACATGCCCTTGGGAGGCACGGCTTTGACTGGACCTTCTTTTTGAAGGCACCCTAAGGAGACTAAGGCATGTGTATGACTTGTCTGCAGTCTTCCAAGGATGGTGGAGACATGTCTGCCTAGGTTTTGTTTGTACTAAACCTGTGACCTGGAAGCCTAGCTAGTAGCAATACTTTGTGACTTACCTGCCTACAAGAAGAGGACAGAACAGAAATAGAACCACACACACAGAAGGAGGACCGATTCCAAGTGAGAACAGAGGCACATAGATGATTTGTAAGCAACCAAGGAATGCCAAGGATTGCTGGCAGCCACCAGAAACTTGGAACAATTTCTTTCTCAAAGTCTCCAGAAGAAATCAACATAACCAATACCCTGCTTTGGGCTTCCTGCCTCAGAACTGTAAGAGGAACATTTCTGTGCCTAAAACCTACCCACTTTGTGGTATTTTGTAATGGCAGCCTGAGGAAAGTAAGACAGGACCCCTGGCAACTCTCAAGCAAAAGGGGTAGGGACACGTGCTGGAGCCCAGAGCTGGAACAGGCCAGCACAGATCCCTCCCTCAGGGCCCCACACTGCCTGAGGTCCATCGTTACTAGTCAAATCACTGTGAGGAGGGGCCTGAAGTCACGTTGCTTTTTGGTATGTGAAAGAGCCCAAAGGATCACTACCAAGGGACAGAGGAGGGGCCACTCTGGGACAAGGCGCCTTTAAAACAGCAAGTCTCAGCCCAATTAAGATAATGGTGCCTGATTTCCACCCCCTTCCCTTGCTTCCGCTGCCGCGTGGTCCTAATTCAGGCCACCTCCTCTGAGCTTCTTCACAGTGCTCAGCGCCTGGCCCCACTTAGCCCATAGATGCAAAGGTTTGGGATAAAGTCGCCAATCCCTCAGCCCTGCAATGCAGACACTAGGCTCTATTGCTCCCCAGTGTCCCTGAGGGGGTCTAGCCTGAGTTCCGAGATCACCTCTCTGCTACTCCGTGCCCCCAAATCATCCCAGATAAGACCTGTGATTGTGACCTGGTTTGGAAAGAGGGTCTTTGAAGATGATCTCTATGAACATGAGGTCAGAGCAGAATGCCATCAAGTCGGTCCTGACTCAAACCCTGTTGAGGGGTTCTTAACAGTGGTTGGTGAGTTTGAACCTCTGACCTCGCAGTTCAACCCGAACTTGTGGTCTGCTTTTTCCTACAGAGCAGCACCAGGACTACATAGACTGGAGTTGTTGTTAAGTACCGTCGAGTCAGTTCTGTCCCATAACAAACTTGCATAGGGTTTCCGAGGAGCTTGAACCCCCAACCTTGCAGTTCAAACGGACTTTGCAGTCCAGCACATCAACCCACAACGCCACACCAGGCCTCCATAGACAGGGAGTTCCTTCCCTAGAGCCTTCAGAGAAAGCTACCCTCACATCCAGAGGTCTCTTTTCCGGCCCCCTCCCTAACTAAGCATCTGCTCTCTAACTTTTGTTCTAGTCTTCTGTAGGGTGGTGCGGCCATGTTCCCTAACAGTGGGTCCCTACTCTGGATACTGGAGCGGGGCCTCACGCGGGGCCTCACCTGTGAGTATTTAGAGCTGGGACAGTCAATCTGAAGGACATCTTTACAGGGGAACAGCCTTGGGGAATGCTACATTGCTTTCCTGAGGGCCCTGGTGTGCTGTTTTTCCAACTCCAAAAGAATGCTTGAACTCAGTCCCTCAAGGCACACTCCTGGGGCCCCACGAGGTGTGTCGCCCACCAAGCTAATTCTGATTAAGCCAGGACCACAAACCAGGCGCGGCTCCCTGCCCGCCCTTCTAGTTTTTCCTCCCATTATTTTTTCCTCCCCCATCAGCCAGCTGGTATCCCCTAGGGCATACAGGATAAGGGTTGTCCAAGACAACAGGCAGGAGAAGCTGGGGAGGAGTCTATGTTGAAGGTGCCCCCTAAACACCAGTTCCAGCTCCACTCTCGCCTGGCTGGCTGGCTCCTACCTCTCCAGGCTTCCTAGCAACATCGAGGAAAGGGCCCTGATTGGACAGAAGAGAAGCGAGGAGCCAATGAGGCGGCACTGGCGCCTGCTACCCGACCCTCTTACAGTGGCGTC